AATGGCGGCATGGCTTTCGCCGCAGCCGCGGCCCCTGCCTGCTGAAAGCCGTGTAGCGAGATGACTGCCCGCTCAATGGGTCGCACCAGAGATGGGCCAAACGCTTGGCCCTGCCAGTCGTCCCTGGTCTGCAAGTCGTCGATCAACAGATCTTCAATCGTGGGCCACTGAAACTCAGACCAATGGATGTGAGGACACAAAGCCATCAGGGCACCGATCACTGTCTCCTGTGAAAACCGGATGGGTACCGCCCGGACTGGGCGCAGGCCCGCAGCCAGCAGGGCCACCTTGCGCACACCCTGCTGGCGGCGCCGTCGTGGAAGTGTAGACCTCGAGGTTGTAGTAGTCCAAATAAGTGCACGAGGAATATCTCCATGGCACAACTGGTTGTGAGGGCAATCGCAGATCAGCGCGCAACCGTGCAGTGAAGGCAGTGCGTCAATGAGGTGCGCTTGGTCATGGATCCATCGTGCAAACTGAAGGACACTCTCAGAGGATGTACGGCCCTCCCCTGCTCGGAAGGGGTTCTGCCACTGTGAGAGGGGCCACCGATGTGAGAAATGGCCGGGGCCGATGCAGATCTCATTCTCCTGGAGGTGCTTCCGTGTATGCACAACAACGGCCGGTGATCACCTGACAGCGAGATAGGTGGCAGCCTGGGTACCTGAGTCACGTGATAGCCTCGAGAGGCTGCCCATGCAGTACAAGCCACTGCAAGTGTGAACACCAAACTGGGGGTGTACTCCGCTTCGGCAAAGGTAGCAAACCCGCCCTCAACTGGGGAGGACCACTCCCGAGGGTCATGTATATGTCCACAACGCACAGCTGGCAAGGCGGCAAGCTCTGGAATGTGGTGACGAAATCGCTGAGACTTCTTGCGAGCCTGACAGAAAACACATGCATCATAATCCAAATCATGCCATGTGCTCCGTTGGGTGACATGGAGTTCAATAGGGTCCCACCAGTGCAAAGAGCGCAGGGGATTCTCTCGTAACCCACCCAATCCATGTTGGGCTACCCAGGTATGGAGCGCTAGCAAGTAGTCACTGGAATAGTTATCCTGCTTTTCCCGCGCCCGAGATTTGGTGGCACAGCTCATAGCGCCAGCGATCAATTGAGGGAGGACTGCGTGAATGGCGCGACGAACCGATGGCCGAGACAGTCCAAGTCCTGGTCGATCTCAATGTCGATAGGCGTGACCACTTCCCATTGGCACCAAAGGAAGGCCTTAGCAAGCGGGGCATTCAAGCCGCTGAACACATCAAGAAAGACTGGCTTGCGTGCTGTATC